AGAGAACGCATTCCTTTCAAAAGTATGCTTGGGCCATTTTTTTAAAATATGCAACAAACTGTCTATGCGATACCAACTTTCATCTATTACAACAAAATCATTTTGAACTCAAACACAGAGGAAGACTTCCGTATGGCTTAGTTATATCCTACCAACAAACCACGTGCTTCACAGATGAAGTAGCTTGGAAATTTGGGTGTCTTTGTTAGGGAAAAAAAAATAACCCCTTTAGTAACACTAACTTAGCAAGGTTCCAAATCAGCTTGAACTGTAAAAGAAACTCAAGCCAACTCACTTTGAAATTTGAAACTGAATGTACATATCCCTTCAGTCTTGAAGCAGTCAAATTTTCTGACTGAAATTTGGCATATAAGGAAACAGTTTTTCAATAACTTTTACATTTGGACAGTCAAATACCGGGGAGAATAAAAAAAAAGCATTTTTTAAATATTTCAGTTCTGTTTATGCACACATATGTGCACATGCATGGATGCTTAACAGTCCTTTAACAATCAGTATTCTTCAAAATCCAAAGTATCAGAGGCATTTAGCAAGAACATAGTTAAGCCTCAGGTAAATGATAAAGGGGCCAAGGGTTTTTTTTGTTTGTTTTTGTTTTGTTTTTTTGTTCCCCCCGTAATGTAACTAAATTAAATTAGACTGAAAGAATAAACCCCACAACATAGTGGCACTTTTAATACTGGTTGATCGGGCACTTGTATGCAGTACTTATAGACCAGTAAAAGTGCTCGTTTACCTGTCTGGTGTGTAAGGGGCCCTTTGTCTTGAAGCCTCCTTGGGAACTGCACTCTGAGGCACTGAAGTGATCTGATCTAGTGGAAGAGCTTTTGGAAAGGGTGGCACAACCACCAACAAAGGTGTTGTCCAACGGGAGTTCCTGAATCACGTGGTGTTTTTTCACTGAAACTGGAGTGTCAGGTTTGAGATGAAAAGCAGACTGTGGAGAGGCAGATTTGTAATGCTTGGCAAGATCAGGACTGTTAGGCTTAAAGGTTGTTGGTGGTGCTGTGCCCCAATCAAATCTTCCTATACTTTGCTCCTCCAGCTCCGCTGGAAGGCTTATTGTCCCGTTGATAGGTTCATGAACTGCATCATCAGGTTTGGACTCCTCAATGGTCACAAAGTTCAAAAGAGAGCTCTTCGGAGATTTCCTTTTCTTCCTTTTCTTTTTCTTGTTTTGCTTGTTCTCCTGATTGGGAGACATCCACTCAGCACCTTGCTTGCTCCGCTGGGCAGCTTTGAACCTGGATGCATGTCGACAACGAACAAGAACCGTGACAAATATCACCACTATGACAACCATGGCACCAGCCACAATAGCGATCATGATCGTGAGATAGTCCTCGTTTTGGTAGGGTTGGCTACTGTCCCCTATGTTCCGGTCCAAAGGTGTTTCCATAGTCCTGCGTATCAAGTCATAAATATAAGAGGCATTTCCAGCAGTATCATTTACATACAAAAATACAAGCACAAGAGTATGCAGCGATTTGGGATAACCCAAATCACTTATGTTGACAACTAAGCGATGCAGCCCCACATCATTAGGAGTTGGTTTTTCTTCCAGAGTGATATTACCTGTCACTGGATCAATCCGAAACAAACCCTTGTTATTTCCGCTTACAATTGTGTACTTAAGCTCAGCATTCATTCCAGTGTCTATATCCACAGCAAACACTTCGGCTACCACCGATCCTGGAATTGCCGAGAGTGGCACTAGCTTAAAAGACGTATTAGAAGGCGGGTAGATGACAACGGGGCTGTTATCGTTAACATCCATGACGTTTATGGTTACTTTCGCTGTAGACGATCGAGGAGGTTGCCCTCCATCCACTGCCTTAACGTCAAAGGTGTAGGAGCTCTGCTGTTCTCGATCAAAAGAAACATTGGACTTTATAACTCCAGAGTACGGATCCAGCACAAAGTTTTCATTGTCATTCAGGATGGAAAGGGTCACCGCTTTGTTTTCCCCGGCATCCGCATCGGTCACCGTGATCACCCCCACCGTGCTATACTTTGGTAAGTTCTCCGATACGAAAAACTGGAAGTGATTATGAGTAAATTTGGGACTGTTGTCATTTTCGTCCAACACAGTAACAATTACAGCTGCTTGACTCTGCAAAGGAGGGGTGCCATTGTCTCGGGCTGTAACAGTGAAAATGAAACGTTCCTGCTCTTCTCTGTCAAAAACTCTGGAGGCTGTCAAAACTCCTGTCTTTCGATCCAGATCGAAAAAGGAGGCATTAGGGCCAAGCTGATAAACAATGTCTGCATTTTTCCCACTGTCTTCATCTGTGGCACTAATAGTTGTTAAGTATAGACCACGCCGGTTGTTTTCAGAAACTGACAGCTCAATTACAGGCTGGCTGAAAATCGGAGGGTTGTCATTTTCATCCTCCAGTTTAACTCTTACCAGGGCAGTCTGGTTCAAACTGGGCTTGCCAGAATCAGAAGCAACAATTTTAAAGCTGAATTCTTTGGTGCCCTCATAGTCCAACAAGGAAGAGGTCTCTAGCAAGTACTGGTTGTCGTAAACCGCCTTCAAGTGGAAGGGGACCTCTCTCTCAATGAAACAGATCACTTTGCCATTCACATCAGTGTCCTTATCTGAAACCGTAATTAGGGCAATCTTTGTATTGATGGGATCTTTCTCAGATAAGTACACTGTGCCATTGATGGGACTTATTATGTACCTGAGGTCTATGTTAGGAGGGTTATCATTTACATCAGTGACATTGATGGTAACAGTCGCCCGAGCCGGTGTAGAGCTACCATCACTAGCCAGCACTGTCACTTTGTGAATAGCAGTCTCTTCTCGATCTAAGGACCTCTGAACTGTAATCAGCCCTGTGGTGTTGTTTAAAGCAAAAAATCTTTTGGTTGCGGGGGCGACTTGGGCACCAAAAATATATCTGATTTCTGCATTGCTTCCTATATCTGCATCTGTAGCATGAAGCTGAATTACAGAAGTGCCTACAGGGGCATTCTCTGGTATATGGACCTCTACTTGACTCTCTTTAAACACCGGCCTGTTATCATTGACATCACTTACTGTGACTTGCAGGATGGCTGTGCTGGATTTCTGGGGGGTACCTCCATCCTCCACTTTGATTTTCATCACGTAGGTGTCCTTTTGCTCTCGGTCCAAGTTCTGCTGCACAATCAGCTGAGGCCATTTCTCTCCTTCTGGAGTTTCTACAATATCCAGTCCAAAGACACTCTGCCCGTTTAACAACTCGTAGTGCTGCACACCGTTGAAACCAGTGTCAGGATCTGTTGCTGATGGGATTGGAAAGCGGCTGTTGATCAGAGTGTTTTCTGGGATGGAGATATTGATGACAGGGGATGGAAACATAGGTGCATTGTCATTAGTATCCTTCACAATGATTTTTATTTTGATCAGCCTAAAAAAGTCATTGGGGAGAATCACCACTTCAAGTTCAAAGAAACACTCGTTTTCTTCTGCATAGGAAGCTCCAGCACAGAGTTTTTCTCTGTCTATTCTGTTAGATGTTGTAAAGATTTCCCCAGTGGTACTGGACACTTTGACCAGAGGGGCATCCCCTGCTTTGGACACCAGTCGGTAGACAAGGCTGGCACTGGTCCCCGTGGCAGCATTGATGTGAGAAATGTTCAGATCCTTTGGTATGTTCCCTATGGGTACGTTTTCAGGCAGCTCCTCTCTAATAGTGTAAATAAGTTCTTGAGCTATAGCAGAATCCAGCCTTAAACAGGCAATCAAAGCGGCCAACAGGTAAAAATCCCTCAGGTCCATGATAATGTTTTTATTCGCTTTTCCCGGATTTTAGGACTTAAAGGTTTCCACAGAGGAACGATGCGCGATTTGCAAGAGGAGGCATGCATGGACTGCAGGATGCATTACATCTCATTTCTTATTTGGAGAAAGCACTGTCAACACAACCACACAGAACAGCATTATTGTTTTTTTAGGCATGACAAATCCACAATCTCCAACTACTACTTGGTTTTGCAATGCACACTTGCAGCAGTACATTTTCCTACTGCTCCCTTTTACAAGCAATCCCTCCAGACAAATGCACCAATATCCCGTTGGCTGCATTTGCACAGAGCAAGAATGGCAATAACTACTTGCAGGATTAAGGGTAGCCACAGTTTCGACACGTACTTTCTGAATAATTTCTTGGTACACTGTGTAATCCATAACGTGCATTTCCCCTCTACCCTCCTCCACCCAGTCATTTGGTGCAAGTAAAAAAATCTTCCCGCACTACTTCTGGATTCTAACTGCTATGTCAGCTGCCAAATGTAATTTGTTGTTTGCTTCCATACATATTTTTTAGCTGTTGCAAACCACATTTTTCTCTGCTCCTTGTGCCTTTCATCCCCCCTCTATAGCTATCGTACTGGGAAATAACCACCCGGACATGCTGCTGCTGCAGCAGTCGTCACTGGCTACTTCACATCCCTGTTAACTGATGAGACAATAACAGGACTTACAGTTTCTTACACTCTCAGCTCAATGTTTCCTCTCCAGATGTTGGATACTTCTCCCTCTGCTTAATAACCTTAAACTTTATTTGTTTGTTTTTAAACACAGTCTAAACCAGGAGGCTGGAAATTCCAAACGCAACTTAGGAGCAGCCAGCATGTTTACAGACTGGGGGGGGGGGGAATCTATTTTCTGATGACGAGAGGAGGAAAAAAAGGTGCAGTCTTTCCCCATTGACACTGACCTCCCTTCAGGATGTTATTAGCAGCTGCCACACATAAATACTGCAGACTAATAATGCAGGTGGGGAAAGGAAGGGGGAAAAAAAAAAAAAAAAAAAAAGGCAAGCGACAGACAGACTTCTGTTTGCATGCTCTGCTAACCGCGAATTATCGGGTTGCAAGGCTGCCAGCACCTACGGTTTGGCGGAAACCGGGCAGCCCCCGAGCACTAATCTTATCTGCATTAAGCTGCACGGTAGCTGATGCCCGTGATTACTTCCAGCGGAGTGATGCAGGTAGGGATGCAGAGACAGCGAGTAGGTGAGCCTTTACCACCAACATCAACTGAATCTGAAACACTGATTCCCCAGACAAATATACTGGCGTGCTTTTTTTTTTTTTTCCCCCTCCTTTAAATGAAATGCATCACAGTGTATGGGTAACTTTGCACTTACGTTGGTTGTCTACCTTTGACGATCTGCTGCAGCTAAGCAGTGATCTGTTCCAGCAGATACAGCACAATGCATCTGGTAAACCACCAATTTTTTTTTTTTTTTTTTTTTTTTTTTTGGAGAAATCAGCAGGCGCCAAACGCTTCCTCCTTGAGATATGTGTTGCTTCGGGGTGGCAAATTAGCAACTCCAGGGAACAAATTCACAGTTCTGTCGTTAGTCATCCTCTCCACGTTTCATTGCTATTGAGCGGCGATCCTTCGGGTGTTTAAATGTGCACGCACCAACACAAACAAGCGGCAAGCAAAAAATCCGGTGCACTTCTTTAGACCGGGGGTATTTTCCACTCTGCACTGCACACCATTCCCATCCCTCTCTCGGCAGAGCGGAGGCAGCTACGTGAAGTCTGCAACTTCTGACTGGAAATGACAAGAGTTGGTTGGTCTGGCGGTGCTTCTCTCGCCCTCTTTTATCTCTGGGGTGATAGCTGCCCACACGCGCGCGCACACACACACATCAAAAAAAAAAAAAAAATTAAAATAAAAAAAATAAACAAAAAAAAAATTTAGAGAAAAATAAATAACACAAAAAGTGATGTTACCCAAGCAAGGCCTTCTAATAAAGGAGTGGCCCCCTCACCCATCCCTCCCTACCTGTGCAAGTCCTGCTCACATCAGTTTCCTTCCATCCAATTAGGCGACCTGGGAGACCCAGCCAGCACCATCCGGAGGGACTACAGAGTGGTGATGGGGTACCTCCAAGAAGCTTGCAGGATGGAACCAGGGAAGGTTATGGCCACTCCACATCTCTTAAAGTACCGCTGGCTCGATCACTCCAGATTAGTGAAGAACTGCTGAGCAGAAACCAGTTTTCTACGGCTGCCAGCCATGGGCCATCTGGACTACAGAATCATGGACAGCACTTAATATTATCCAGGGAGGCTTCTTGGGCAAAACCACACTACGAATTCAATTTCAGCCGCATGAAATTCAGGGGAAATGGTGCACTCAGCAACATCAGTGACCTTCCTTTTCTTACAGAAAACTCTGCCTTTCAAAAAATGGCACTTCAAACTAAACAGGATGGGAAAAAGGACGTGAGCCATTCGTCTCCTGTGGATTTAAAGATACCACAAGTTCGAGGCATGGACCTTTCATGGGAGTCCCGCACTGGTGACCAGTACAGCTATAGCTCTTTGGTAATGGGTTCACGAAGCAGCCTGTCCCGGCCCTCCTCCTCCGCGCGGCTGGGCTTTATTTTTGATACATGCCTTGTCATCTATAATTCACGCCGCTCCGACTCCAGCCCCGTCTAGGCTCCCATTTACGCCTGCACACCTTTCTCCTTCCCCCTTCCCGAAGGGTCGGCCCAGGCACTCGCCGGAGGAAGGGGAAGAGCAGCTCTGCTCTGCTGGTTCGGGTTTTGTCCGCTTCACCGTTGAACATGGAAAACATTCCTCTCCGCGGTTTGATAAATAATAAAAGTGATCATTTCGCCTTCCCCGTGAATGACACAGGTGAATTGTCCCGCTGGCCACAAAGAAGCATCACATGCCTGGGAGACGATGTAATAAAATGCCCATGTGTTACGGTATGAGTGACCTCAAAAGTGTGACAAAGAAGACGATTATAGTGCATTATATATAGTGCATCATATGTAGAGCCTTTTTCAACAGTTTCTGAAGCATGAATGAACCTTCATTTGACTGTGCTTTTATTGCTAGCTTTTCTCAGCTTGAACTTGCAAGCAGTATGACACAGTACCTATCCAATTCAGTATGCCCGCGTACGTGGCCACACTGGCTGCTGCTTCTGGTTAAGCCTTTCAAATACAGATGCGTACAGAAAACAAAGATAACATCAGCGTTTGGCTTTTTCTGTACTGTATCTAGATAATTTCCACATTTTCAGTTGATAGCGTTGGCCTGCTAAAGATCCAGCCTTGAAGGTTTTACATTTTCAAATGCAGGCTGCTACCTTTAGACTCCCATATGCATGCGCACATACGACACACCGTTAACTAATGGTGGAAGCTGCCTGTGCCTGACAGAGGTCAGTGATTTGCATGGCTTGGTTTTGTGTGGTACATACTGATAAATGTACATAGCCTCGGTAGTCATACAGATGCAGGCGCTGTGTATGTGAACGTTGCACATCCTGTAATCCCATGATGTGTAAAGATTAAACGTTCTTAGTTTTGCTGTGCTTTGTGTTTGTGTCCAAAAGACTCCTGTTACAAATACGCACGGGAAAAAAAAAAAAAAAGAAAATTGATCCTGGTTTTGATGACATCAAGTAATGGTAGCAAACGGAACTGAATCTAATAATAGTTTAAGAAAAATGTTCATTATGTAATACAGGAAGGATGGCGAGAGCCCCAGCATTGAAAGTCAAGCAAGTGACATGAAGGAGCAACCTCACTGCCAAACCACTTTAGAAAAAGAATTCTGTGAATGAATTAAGTATGCAGTTCTTTTCGTCTTTTAAAATACAAAGCAGAACAGCCATTAATAAAGAAGATAATTAGGACTACTAGCATTCTGTGTAATGCAGTCTGCTTCTGAAATACGGCGTGTTTATGTATGCGTTAATAATGCACACATTTTTCCTGACACTAGTCATATCACAGCAGTATGGCATCACAGACGTTTTATAGCCTCATTCTAGTAACATCACAGACATACAACATTCTTATTCTAATCACACCATAGTCATTTCAATGTCACATTGTAGTCACATCACATAGCCTGGTAATAATTATTTAACTTTATTGCTAAGCTGAATAGTTTTCTGTTTGCTCAGGGATGACTTTAACTTGTAGTCAGAACTGATTAGCACATGCTCATAAATGAGTTCTTCTCATGTACACAGGGTTAGCCTCATGAAAAGTTAGGAAGAGAAAAAAAAAAAAGTAAAATGTCAATGAACTAGTGACTGTTGCATTTAAACCCAACATGGTCACAAGTCCCAATAATACCATATTTTTGCTGTTTTCTGAAGTTATTATAGAAAGCCAGAGATGTTTATATGCCGATCTGTCATGTTAATGTTTATGCGCTTGCTTTAAAATGCTGTAGTTCTTTAACTAATCATACATTATTAACCTCATGGAAGAGGCAGGTCTTCAGACCATAGCGTTTGCACAACAGATTGTAAAATTGAGGCCCAGAGTACCAAAGGGGCTAGAACTGTTACAACTGTTTCTAATAATGGGACAAAATGACTAGAAAAGGCTGAGTTCCCGAGTGGTAGTCAGAATTGCCCAGTGCAGCGTTACACCACCTCTGAAATGTGGGGAACTGCTCTGAAACATTTCCCGTGTTCACTTGAGTAGCCATGTTTTATCCTCCAGTAAATGTTTATTGGCTCGCTGTTGTATTTGAGAAAACTACGGTATTTGCTGTTATGCTCTCCTCAAATGCAGCTATGTACTATTATTTATACTGTTCCTTAATAGTCTCCTTTCTTTACCGTGATGTATTAGGCTTTTGTCTGCATATAAGAACACTGGGCTCCTAATCACATCATAACCTATTAAAATGACTTCTGTATTGTAGCATATTAACTATTCATCCACATCATTGCTTGTTATCTTCGCCTCCATATTATTATGTATCAAATTCTTTTCCCTATCATATTTGACTCAAATTCTAGCATGCTAGAAACTGACTCCAATTATTCTGTACTAGCTATAGTCAAATTGCACTAAATGGAATTGCTTACATTGTATCATACTGGCTACAGGCTCACACAATACATTATACATGAAACTGATTCACATTATGCTTAGCTAACTAAAGACTTTAATCTTGAAGTGTTGAGCATAAAATGCTATCATTCTTCACTGAACTGGCTCTGGTCACTTGATCATTTTGTACCTGGGATTGCCTCTTACAGGCTGTTATTATTAAAGCAAAATGGCTTTTCCTCTCCTGCAGTTCTACCACTTTCTATGGAGAGCTGATTCATATGCTAATGAACGAGCTCTTTTACTTCATGGCATTGCACTGCAACACTGGAACCTGACCTATAGTGCACCTATAGCGTGTCCCCTTCAGTCCAGTATAGCGAAAAAACGCATTATAAACATTCGCTTGTGTGTTCAAATAGCAGGTTATGTGCTAGCTATTTAGCAATCCTTACTATTATCCCCAGAGGCTGTGTTTCTTCAATGTTGCTTAAATTATTAGCAAATACAGCCTTGGTCCCATCTCCAGCAGGCATTATTTAAGGCCAAGTTGCCAGTTCGGCCAAGATCTTTCAGGGTGTTCCTGATGTCGTTGTCCCTGGAAAGCGAAGATGTTTGGAGTTCAGTGTGGCGGGTAAGAAGGAAGGAATCCACCTCCTGTTACAGATAGTATTTGATCCATGAAGTAGTCCACCTCCACAAGGCAGATGTTTGCTCTGCTCGAACTAGCACTGGCATAGCTCTGTCCTTCACTCAGGTTTCTGCCACGAGTCGGGCTCATGGTAACCTCAGGAAATTCAGTTCTTGCAAGAAGTATGGGGCCAAAAAGTGATGCTTGTCATCTTCTGTGCTCCTAACCCCCAAAACTTCAGGGAGTCTGTGAAGACGAGAGAGGAGAATGCCACAAAGGTGGGACCAGCATACGGAGAGGATTGTGGAGCCCCTGTTGTCTGCATATCCTTACAAGCATGTTTCTCCTTACAAGCATGCTGCTGTTGTCCAGACTTTATGCCCCTCGTGGTCTGGATTTCAGGAGCTTGCTTCAGCGTTTCCTTTTCTTCTTGAGTGTAGAGATTGAACCTGGAGTCTTTATTTACGTGAGCAGTTCAAATGAAGTCAATAAAAATATTTTGTGTAATGTAAACCACACGTAACGACGGCATTTCGAAAAGCCAGGTAATTGAATTATGAATTATATTTATTTAATATACTCATTTTCATAATTTCAAAATCTATTGAATTGTTTTTCAGGCTAGTTGTGAGAGATCTAGGAAAGGAAAAAGACTTAAGCAAACACTTCAGGACTGTATTTTAATCTGTACTCTTAAATAAACAGCAATAGCTAAGTCAGTTAATGATGAATAATTTAAGCCAATCGAGCTGCTGAGACGGGGCAATAGTTGCAGAATCAGGCCCCTTTAATGTGTAATTCTTCAGGAAAATAAACTCAGTCCCTGGATAATCAAATCACAAAAGGGGCAGGTGACGACCTTTATTCCATTTGAATGGCAGAACTAAATTTAACTGAATTTGCCATTTTTTTTTTTGACTGACAAAGATTGCAAATGTCAGTTCGTGGCTCTGAAGGGTCTACAAATGCACAAGCTGAAAACTGGCATTTTGCAGTGCCAGTGTTTAATCCCTGTCACTGTACAATACAGCAAGGTGCCGAACTCCCATTAATTATTGCTGTTTATTTAAAGGTACAGATTAACGTACAGATTTGAATTGTTTGCTTGAAAGTGTTGGGGTTTTTTTCTCCCTCACAGGGCTTTAGTAACTATTTAGTAAAACAATAAAAATCAATTTGGTTATGGCAAAAAGAGAATAATAAACAAGTGCCGTTTAAAATGCAATTATTGGACCACTTAAAAGAGCTGTAATTGCATGTGGCACAAAAAGAAAAAAAATGTTTTTTTCTTTGCTACCCTCATGTTATTTATTACGATGGAAGTAGCTGATGAATCAGAATACAGAAGCAGATTCCAACCAGTGTGCTTTTGTGTGAGGTGAAAATATTCCAAGACCTACAAATAACCTGATGTCTTATTGATGCTTGATTGTTTAAAAATAGAAGGAAAAAGATGGAGAAGAAAGGAAGTCTAAAGGTTTTCAGACAAAACAATGTCTGAAGAAAGCTTTACTAAAGCATTTTCATTTCCATCAAAACGGTAATGTAAATCTGATTGATGGAGTTATGCTGATGCAATGTTGACAGGATCAGAATGAGACCCAAAGCGTGGAATGAGACCTCCTTCAGGCATTTACTTTGTTTTTCTGCTTTCAACTTCTGACCTGCTCCTTGCTGGCGCAGAAAATAGAAAATGCTCAATTTAAATCAATATATATACTCACACTAACTTGCATTAGTGAGATTGACATCTTTACATCCAGTTTTGAACCTAAATATCTTCTGTTTTGCAGTCCTACTCTGATGTCAGTCATGCCTCACCATTTACAAAAGGTTACTAAGGTAGTGAAGCTTGATTAAACTCTGTGTCCTCTGGGGAGAAAAATACTCGTTTGACATAGACATAGCTTCATTCTTTAAATTACAGATAGGCAGGCAGACAGATGACTAATATCTGTTTAAAAGCATTGTGCTGTTATGATCGCTTCTTCTTATTC